ACAAAAAAAACTTCTTACATTAGCCAAAGGTCAAAGAAAGAACAAAGAGGGAAATTTTAGTAGAAAAATTGTCTAAGGGGTCAAAGATTTAATGATGCTAAAAGTAGAAATGAAAGAGGAAAAATTGAATTAATATCCCACTGATTATCCCATGCTTTCTAATATATGAATCAGTGTTTTTTGGCATGAAATGTGATAGTTAACACAAAGGGAGGTCACTAAGGCAGTGAAAATGGGAGGTTAGAGACAAAGTATAATTGGACATTCATACCCACCCCGCATAAGTTTTAGAAGGAAGAAGTATTTCTTTGCTCTTTCATCTGGCCTTGGGGGTATGGTTGTGGGGGAGTAGGGTAGTATGAGGACTGTGTGTGTATGTGGAGACTTACTAATAGGAGTTAGGTCTTGCCCAAAGAAGTGAAATAATAGGAGACATTAAGATGTGTTCTTATAAAGAGAGGAGAGGACCCCCCCTCCATAATAGGAGCTGCTCAGAGGGACAGAGTATCTCAGAGATCCTCTTCTTCAGACAAGAATCACTATTTCCAAGACCAATTACACCCCAGGAAGGAGAGGGAAGGTGTATGGACAGTTAAGGTTGTACAAAATGAAGACAAGTGGCTAGGAGGACACAGCTCAAGAGTTAGACGATACTGGCCTTGGGATGGATGAATCATGAATATAAAGGCTCAGAGGAAAGAACTTGTGACAAGAGATACAGAGCAACTTTCATCACACTACATTACCTCCCTCATCAATCGATACGTTGCAGGGAGGGTTTAAGACTTCTCAGAAGGCACATCAGAAAAAAAACAGAACAAAATAAACAGATGGAAGAGGTGGAAATGGAAGGGGAAGCTTCTCAATCAGACTAATATGTGAATGGGAAATAGTACAGCAAAGTTGTTTTTTTTCTTTTTCTTTCCAGAAGTCTTACTTTGAATGCAGGATATAGAGAGAATAAATAAAGAAGAGGAAAGTGTAAAGACCTTGAATGGAGACAATATTGCAGAACATGCTAGTAGGAGAAAGAAATAAGTGGGGCATGAGGGGGTGTAAAATAAATTAATATGGCTTGTGACAGAGCACAGTAAATTAACATTCCTCAAGTTAAAATAATTGATAAGGGAGGAAAGGTAGGATTTTTAACCTAATTATTATCAAGTATGGTAGATAGGAAGTAAAGAGATAGAAGAACAAAATAAAATGAGAATGATAAGCAAAGAATCTTTCCAAATGGAAGTAATGAGAGAGTAGAGAAAGTGCAAAAATGGAAAAATCATCACAGGGCCCAAGAACTGATTAAATAAGGAGAAAAAAATTAATATAAATACTAAAGAGAGTAGTATAAAACACAAGCTTAATCATTATTATCTTAAATATAAAACGGTTAAATTAAATTAAATAAAAGATGGTTAGCATAGCAATGTGAAAGGACATAAAGGAGACCAGCTTCCCCAAATATGTGCCTAGAAAATTACTGAAAAGGCTGCTCTATAGATCAACATCAAGAAAACTGAAGAAATAATTCCTCTATCCAATTCAGAAGACAGCTATATGGGGCAGCTAGGTGGTGCAGTGGCTAGAGCACCAGCTCTGGAGTCAGGTGGATCAGAGTTCAAATCTGATCTCAGACACTTGACATTTACTACCTGTGTGACCCTGGGCAAGTCACTTAACCCTCATTGCCTCACCAAAAAAAAAAAAAACCTATACAAAAAGATTGTAAGGCTGGACAAGGCCTTACATTAGGGAAGTTAATGCAAGTTTTGGTAGATAGGCCTTGTGTGGGACAAGTGAAAGTTTCTCATATGAAATGGAAGCTATACCCTAAAATTTAGTTAAGTCTTTAGCATTAGCCAGGCCTAAGTTTCGCTTTCCTGTAAATCATGTGATCGGGTCATACATCTGTTGCCTACCCCCTCCCTTGTTTTGTAACTACCACCCCAGCCTTATCTTGCCAAGCAGTCTTCTAGCTCCCAAGCTTGTTTTGGGTAAAATGTATCTCTTAGTCTCTGGGTAAGGTCTCTTACCTCAAAAAATGGGGATAAAGAGATTCAGGTTAAAAGGTGGGAGGGTGGGGATTTCTTAGAATTTGTTTGTCTAGGGGTATGTAACTGCTTGCTTGCTGCTTGCATCTTGCCTCCCTACTCCAGTCTGCCCTGGGTAGGTGATGCCAATTCTCTCGCGAGACTTGCTAGAATAAAACTTCTGTTTCTACTAACAGAAACCTCTGAATTTTTATTCGGGTAGGTGGTTTCAATCCCACTCAGCCTGAAGCCTGAAATGGTTGGTAAATTCCCTTGGTCATACCATGAAAACTAGTGTGAGCTTCTATAATCAGGTTCTTAACCTTTGGGTCTGTCAGACCAATAAAGTATAGAGCCATTTCTAATTTATCCCTGTACAGAGAAACAGGGCAGCTAGTAGATAGAGTGCTGGGCCTGGAGTCATGAAGACTCCTCTTCCTGAGTTCATATCCAGCCTCAGACACTTACTGTGTAACCCTGGGCAAGTCACTTAACTCTTAACTTAACTCAGCTTCCTTGTCTGTAAAATGAGCTGGAGAAGGAAATAGCAAACCATTCCAATATCTGCCAAGAAAACCTCAAAAGGAGTCACAAAGAGTCAACAAAGACACAACTGAAATGGCTCACTAACAAGGGGGAGATAGGGCCTAGAAGTGCTCTACTGAGAGCACTGGGGTTAATAGAAGCTTATGGCATAAATCTAGAAAGAGAATAACTCTTCTAAAAATACAAGTACAGCCTCAGGGGAAAAAAATGGCTTGGCCACAATAACTATGGCTAGAAGCAATGAAGCAAGAGATGATGAATAAAATTAGAATTTTTGATATTCAATTTTTTCCCTCCAATTATATGTTAAATCTATTTTTTAGTATTTTTTAAAATTTTGAGTTCAAGTTCTATACTTCCGTCCATCTCTGTCCCCCCCCACAATAAACAATCTAATATAATTTATACATGTGCAATCATGCAAAACATTTCCATATTAATCATTTTGTACAAGAAGACTCCATTTTTTTTAAAGAGGAAAATAAAATGAAAAACAGCATGTTTTAATCTATATTCAGACAGTATCAGTTCTTTCTTTGGAGGTGGATAGTATATGTGTCTTCATTAGTCCTTTGGGATTGTCTTGGATCATTGTATTGCTGGAAATGGCTAAGTCGTTCACAGCTGTTCATCATAAAATATTGCTGGGGGGAGGGGCCGCCGGCGGGGAGCCGGACGGAGGAGCCGGCTGCCGCTGACAGTCCGAGAGCTGGCCCCGACAGACGCGGCGCATCTGGAGCGGCGCCGGGAGCGGCGCCCCAGCGCGACCATGCCCGTGCCCCTGCCCCCGCGCTGCTGCTGCTGAGCCGGCTGCCCCTGCCCGCCCACGTGCGGGGCGACCCCCTGCGCACCTGGCGCGGCACAACCTGCTCTCCTTGGGCCACTCTATCGTGTCCGGCCTCTGGGCTCTGCTCTGCGTCTGGCAGACCCCGGAGATGCTGGTGGAGCTTGAGACGGCCTCCTCGGTCTCTGGCTATTTGCTCGTCTGCTTCTCGACGGGCTATTTCATCCATGACACAGTGGACCTCCTGGCAAGCAAGCAGGCCCAGGCGTATTGGGAATACTTGGTCCACCATGTCTTGGCTATTGCCGCCTTTGCCTCGGGCATCTTTAAGGGGAGCTTTGTGGCAGGTGGGGTCATGACTCGTCAGCAACATCTTCCTCACGATGAGAATGATGATGAAGCTCGGTAACCATCAGGACTGCCTTTTCTACCGGGTCAATAAGTACATCAGTTTGGTCATGTACTTCCTCTTTCGCCTGGCCCCCCAGGCCTACCTCACCAGCTTTTTCCTTCGGTACCTGGGGTAGAGGACAGAGGGTGCCTTTCTGCTCAGCATCCTGTTGCTGGTGGATCTTATGATTCTCATCTACTTCTCCCGCCTCCTTCACTCAGACTTCTGCCCAGAGAGAGCTTCCCTTCGGCATAACAAAGACAAATTTCCAACCGAACAGATCTGCTTTGTCCTTTGATAACTTTGGGGACTTACTATATCCATGTGGCCCAGTACCTCTCCTGGTACACGCAGCTATTTCTCTACCAACATAGATGTACTGTTGAAGACACTAAAAAAAAAAAAAAGCCAAAAAATCCCACAGCACACTATTTGGAAATCCTTTCTATGGTCAAGGGAAGCCAGTTCCTTTGGGTATGGCAGCTTTGGGGGAAGACTCTTGGTAAAGCCAGATGGAAGGAAACATCTGTCCAGAACAAGGATCACATAAAATGCTCTGTAACCCACATAGGGCTAATTTTGTTTTGACCAGTCAAAACTCCCCCTAACAACACAAGGAATACAGGTTTTACTACCCTGTAACCACCAACTTATTCAACTACTTGCTTGGAAGCTAGAGGTCAGTAGTCATACTTTCTTCCTTGGGAACATAAAGGAACAGTTAACCTCGCCCTGCCAAAGGGTCTTGATTTCTCCTCCCCACATTCCTAGAAATGGGTGGAACACAAAACTGAAGCCCACAAGATTTCAGTACTGAGCCCTCTGAAGGCAGTCTTGTGGACAAAGAAGCACCAGGCCCATCAAGCCCTGCTTTTGGCCCTAATGCCTGTTCCCTCCTCCTCCTTCCCTTGGCTCTGTCCCAGGGCTCCTTTTTTTCCCTCTCCCTTTGGACACAGAGTAGCTATGGCTCTTCCCTTCCCCCACTGTTACCCTCCTGGGAGTAAACAGTTGTCAGGCACTGAGAGGGTACTGTTTAAGCAACCACAGTATGATGGCTTGAGCCCTAGGGAAAGGGGACAACTTGCAGGGCCACAAAGTGACGAGAACAGTGATGGCATTTTCTTTGAGAAGCATAACCTTATCCAGACCTTTCCCTGTGAAAGTGAGGAAATGGTCTAGGGAGGCTGGGTAACCTGCCAGAAAGGCCACCCATGGGACCCCCCCCACGAGAGATGACAAGCATGAATATACTGGAAAACTTTTTTATTGTAGGTGGAGTGGGATAGCTGGACAGAGTTTAGATGATTCCAATCTGAAAAGCAAAAGGCAATAGTGTTACCAAAGAGCTCAGGAGGGCTAGGAACAGGCTAGACAGAAGGGGGTAAGAAAAGCAGGTGGCTGGGCCAGGATGCTCCTGCCAAGGGCAACCCATCCCCGCAGCCTAGGTGGTCACTGGGTGCATCAGCCACCCAGAGTCTTCACTGAGGCTCAGGCTTTGGTCACTCTGACTCATCACCTGCACCCAAGGAGAAGGTGGCCACCTTCAATACTCACTTTGTTGGCAACATCTAAAGCATCATAGCCTGGAGCAAGTCGGACATAGGCCTTCTTCTCTCCATCAGGCCTAGGACAGAAAAAGTGACCTTAGCACACAGAATGTAGCACCTCTCCCAAAGTCTCTACCCCTTTCCTTATGTCGTGCATCAGCAGTTCCTTTGTTAGCATCATTTTTCTCTGTAAAATGGTATTTTCCATCATTTGCACAAGCACTGGGAACAGGCCCCAAGACACAAGGTCTCAGTTTACAGCTCTAGTTCCAGATTAGATCATTTCCCTGTCCTTTCTTCACTGGAGAATTTCATCCTTGTTCCAAGTGCCAAGGCACAGGTCAGGACCCAGGGAAAAGGCAATAAAATCTCACCAGCAGTCAGGCCAAAGCATACTTATGTTGGACTGCAGCATGCTTCCCCACCCCAAACCTGTCTCTCGACCTCAGTGTGGGCTTGAGACTGTCACATGAGTAAGATGAACTGATAAGTTTCAGTGCCCACCCACCTTTCCCTTTGGCACCCAAGCTGTCACATTCCCTGAACGTGGACAAAGTGCCGCCTGTGCTGGGGATCCTGCCCCGGGAGGAGCCCTTACTCACTGAATCAGCGTGTTGACTTAGCCACGTCAATGTCATAGAGCTTCCTGATGGCCTGCTTGATCTGATGCTTGTTGGCCTTGACGTCCACAATGAAAACCAGCGTGTTGTTGTCCTCAGTCTTCTTCATGGCAGACTCAGTGGTCAAGGGAAACTTAATGATGGCATAGTGGTCAAGCCTGGGAGGGAAAAGGGAGGCACAGCAACAGGGCCCTAACATTACAGGAACCAGGGATGCTTTTTATCAACAGAACCAAATCTTTTACTTTGAAATAAAAATGTTCCTCCTATCACCAAAAAAAAATATATTGCTGCTACGGTGTACAACATTCTCCAGGTTCTGCTCACTTCACTTTGCATCAGTTCATGTAAGTCTTTCCAGGTTTTTCTGAAATCATCCTGATGTCATTTCTCATGGAACAGTAATATTCCATCACAATCAATAACCACAGCTTATTTAGCCATTGCCTAATTGGTGGATATCCTTCCAATTTCCAATTCTTAGGCCACCACAAAAAAGCTGCTATAAATATTTTTGTACAAATAAGTCCTTTCCCCATTTTTTTGATGTCTTTGGGATACAGAACTAGAAGTGGTATTGCTGGGTCAAAGGGTATGCACAGTTTTATAGCCCTTTGGGCATAGTTCCAAATTGCTCTCCAGAATGGTTGGATCAGTCTGCAGTTCCACATATTAGTGTCCCAGTTCTCCCACATCCCTTCCAACATTCATCATTTTCTTTTTTTGTCATATTAGACAATCTGATAAGTGTGAGGTGATACCTCAGAGTTGTTTTAATTTGCATTTCTCTAACCAATTGTGATTTAGAGCATTTTTTCATGTGATTATAGCTTTGATTTTTTTGTCTGAAAACAGCTTGTTCATATCCCTTGATCAACTGGGGAATGACTTGTATTTTTATAAATTTGACTCCGTTTTCTATATATTTGAGAAATGAGGCCTTTATCAGAGATACCTGCTGCAAAAAAATTTCCCCCAGTTTTCTGCTTTCCTTTTAATTTTAGTTGCATTGGTTTTGTTTGTGCAAGAACTTTTTAATTTTATATAATCAAAATTATCTATTTTACATTTTGTAATCCTCTCTATATTTTCTTTGGTCCTAAATTCTTTTCTTATCCATAAATCTGACAAATAAACTATTCCATGCTCTACTCATTTGCTTGTGGTATCAATCTTCATGTGTAAATCATGTACCCATTTTGACCTTATCTTGATATATGCTGTGAGGTGTTGACCTATACCTTGTTTCTGCCATACTGTTTTCTAGTCTTCCCAGAAGGATCTTTGGGTTTATCATATACTAGATTACTATGGTAATTTACTAAAGTGTAATATATACCTAATTTGTTCCACTGATTAACCAACCTATTTCTTAGCCAGTACCAGATTGTTTTGATAATTACTGTTTTATAATACAGTTTGTGATTTGGTATGGTTAGACCACCTGCCTTCACATTTTTTTTTCATTGATTCCCTTAACCTTTGGTTCATCAGATGAATCTTCTTAATATTTGTCTAACTCTATAAAATATTTTTGGTAGTTTGATGGGTATGACACCAAATAAATTAAGTAGAATTGCAATTTTTATTACATTGGCTCAGCCTACCATGAGTAATTAATATTTTTCCAATTGTTTAAATATGACTTTATTTGTGTGAAAACTTTTGCAATTGTGTTTATGTAGTCTGTCTTGGCAGGTAGACTCCTCAGTATTTTATATTGTCTATGGTTATTTTAAATGGAATTTATCTTTCTATCTCTTGCTGCTGGACTTTGTTGGCAATATATAGAAATGCTGATAATTTATATGCGTCCATTTTGTATCATGAAACTTTGCTAAATTTATTAATTATTTCAAGTAGTTCTTTAGTGGATTCTCTAAGTATACCATCATATCATCATATCAGTGATAGTTTTGTTTCCTCATTGCCTATTCTAATTCCTTCAATTTCTTTTTCTTCTCTTCTTGCTATAGCTAATATTTCTAGTACGATATTGAATAGAAGTCATAATGGACATCTTTGCTTCACCTCTGATCTTATTGGGAAGGCTTCTAACTTATCCCCATTACAGATAATGCTTACTGATGGTTTTAGATAAATATTACTTATCATTTCAAGAAAAGCTCTTTTATTTCTATGTTCTCTAGTGTTTTTAATAGGAATGGTTATTGTATTTTGTCAAAGGCTTTTTCTGAATCTATTGAGATAATCATATGATTTCTGTTGGTTTTGTTATTGATATGGTAAATTATGCTAATAGTTTTCCTAATATTGAACTAGCCTTGCATTTTTGGGTACAAATCCCACCTGGTCATAGTGTTTGATCCTTGTGATACATTGCTGCAATCTCCTTGCTAGTATTTTATTTAAAATTTTTTCATCAATATCCATTAGAGAAATTGATCTATAATTTTCTTGCTCTGTTTTGACTCTTCCTGGTTTAGGTACCAGCACCATATTTGTGTCATAAAAAGACATGGTAGGACTCCATCTTTGCCTGTTTTCCCAAATAGTTTTTATGGTATTGGGATTAATTGTTCTTTAAATGTTTGGTAGAATTCACTTGTGAATCCATTAGCCCTGGGATTTTTTCTTAGGAAGCTCACTCATGGCTTGTCTAATTTCTTTTTTTAAGACTGAGTTATTTAAGCATTCTATTTCTTCTTCTGTTAATTTGGGTAATTTAATTTTTGTAGATATTCATCCATTTCATTTAGACTGTTAAATTTATTGGCATATAATTGAGCAAAATAAATCCTAACAATTGTTATAATTCACCCCTTTCATTTTCAATACTGGTAATTTGTTTTGTTTTGTTTTTTAACCAAATTAACCAATGGTTTATTTTGTTGATTTTTTTCATAAAACCAGTTTCTAGTTTTATGTATTAGTTCAATAGTTTTTTTACTTTCAATTTTATTAATGTCTCCTTTCATTTTTAGGATTTCCTATTTGATGCTGAATTGGCCATTTTTAATTTGTTCTTTTTCTAGTTGTTGTTGTTGTTGCATGCCCAATTCATTGATCTAGTCTTTCCCTATTTTATTGATGTAAACAATTAGAGATATAAATTTTCCCCTGAGTACTTCTTTAGGTGTATCCCATAAATTTTAGCATGTTGTATCATTGTTGTTATTTTCTTTAATGAAATTATCAATTTTTTTCTATGATTTATTCTTTGACTGTTTTTAGGATTAGATTATTTAATTTTCCAATTAATTTTAATCTATCTTTCCATTGCCCATTAGTGAATGTAATTTTTATTTTATTATGATCTGAAAAAAAGGCATTTACTATTTCTACTTTTCTGCATTTGATTGTGAGGTTTTCTGTCCTACTGTATAGTCAGTTTTTGTGTAAGTGACATGTACTGCTGAGAAAAATGTATATTCTTTTCTATTCCCATTCAGTTTTCTCAGAAATCCATCATATCTAACTTTTCCAAAATTTTATTCAGCTCCTTAACTTTTTTAACCTTGTTGTGAGGCTAGCTGTTGCTGCTCTCAGACCTCACTCCCCTCCCACTCCAATGAGACAGACCTTTCCTGTTTTACTGGCAAACTGCTTCCCCATTCCTAAATCAGTACTGAGATAGTTTTCAAGTTGTTTGCAGGATAATTTGGGAGTGCTCCAGTGGGTTCCTTCCTTACTCCACCATCTTGGCACTGAAAGTGTCTTAAAATTAGAATTTAAATTAGAAAAGAAGGTAGAAAAATTTCCCCAAGTAGTGGAATTGAAAAATAGGATAATCAGAAGTCAATGAATTGATGACAAAAAGAGACAGAACAAATTCAAAAGATTTAAAAATAGAAAATATATAGGGGGAGAGTAGTAAATTGATCTGGGAAGCAGAATCATTGGACTTCCTGAAACCATCACCAAACTAAAAACCTGGGAACTTTATTTAAAAAAAAATCAAAGAAAAGGATCTAGGTCTAGTAGAACCTGAAAGCAAAGCAAAAATACAAAGAATCCATTGACTGTCTCCTGAAAGAAACCTCAATCTGAATATCACAATCAAAACCCAGAGCTTCAAAATTGGAGAAAAAAAATCACATCCAGAAAGAGTTCAAGTAGCAACGAGTCAGTCAAGATCACAGAAGACTAAGCTATAATAACACTGAATAAGACAAAATCATGGAATAAGATACTTCCAAAGAGAAATGACAAAGGCTTGTAGCCAAAAATAATTTCCCTGAAAAACTCAATATAATCCCTACATGGAGAAAAATAGATTTTTAATATAATTGAGGACTTTCAAACATTTCTGATGAAAAACCAAAATTAGGTAGAAACTTTGCAATGCAAGAATGGGAGTAAAGATACACCTAGGAAGGCAAATACATTTGAGCAATTGGAGGGGGCTAAATTATGATGGAGCACTTATATTCTACAAGAAGGAGATTATTGTCCCACTGTATTCAAGGTTTATAGACAAAGTTAAAAAGACTAAACATGATTTCATTGTGAAGTTTTTTTTATTGTTTTAAGTAGGAGAAAAAGGAGGGAAAGGGGAATATTAGCATAATTGGGGTGTACAAGAAGAGTATTCAAACATGGAGAAATGAATGGGGTTTGTGTCATCACATGAAACTGACTCTTACTGAACAGAAGAGTATCAAAACTATATAGATAGAGGGAGAACATGCACACTTTCGCATAAGAAGGAGAAACAGAATCAGAGAAAGACAGAGAAAGTAACGGAGACACTCAGAGAGAGAGATGATAGGAGAGATTTGGGGAGGAAAAACTCAGAGACACAGACCAAGTGTTTGTTGTTGTTTAGTCATTTCAGTCTTGTCTGACTCTTCATTTGGGGTTTTCTTGGCAAGGATACTGGAGTAGTTTCCCATTTCCTTCTCTGGCTCATTTTACAGATGAGGAAAGTGAGGTAAATAGGGTTAAGTGACTTGCCCAGGATTCACACAGCTAGTAAGTGTCTGAGGCCATATTTGAACTTAGGAAGATGAGTCTTCCTGACTTCAGGCCTAGAAGTCTATGCACCATGGCGCCACCTAGCTGCCCTAGAGACAGAGAGTTTGGTATAAAAATGCATTAAACTAAACAGCAGAAAAGAAGAATAGATAGGAACTGAAATAGAGGAAATTTAGGAAGTAGGTTAGAATCAGGGGAGGAGGGAAGACTCACAAATAAATGTATTTGAACTTCAGAGGGTGTAATATAAAGGG